TTAATATTAACAGCTATGTCGATTAATATTCTCTTTTGTGCAAAAGTAACTGTATGCAAGTGCCACTGTCCAACTAAAGAAGAAAATGATTTCACAGAAAGTAGCTTCCTCGCGGAACTCATTTACTCATTTTGCCTTTCTACGTCATTACATAATCGTTTTGCATTTTCAGTAACAATATACAAAACAAAAGTGTCGACAGTTAGCATGCTGTAGAAGCCGCTCCCAGATTCGATCTGATATTCACTGTTCACCGAATGGAGTAAGATGTCATCTTTTATTTACGTAATTCCTCCCTTTTCCTTAGTGAAGTAAGAATGTGTTCACAAGTGCATAAGGACTAATCCCTCTGAATACGTTGCATGCAGCTAGCTCTCTATAAGTAGTTAAACCAGTATATACGTATACGGATGCGCCCATATTTGCCATCGTATATTTAAAGCGCTGTACCAAGGGAACAAAGCCGGAATTACAATTGACACTAGCGTCAAGTCCCTCAGTACAGATATACAGTTCAGTGACTTAGCATGCGTCACCAAAAGAATTTCCAACAGGTTAATACAGACTCTTATGAACATGTACGCCCTTCTCTTGACCGGCTAGAAGGCATCAGCAAGCTACAAAGAACCCTAGGAGACATACAACTAGTCAGCAAACAACTGCCTAACAAAAATGTAGAGTGAAATGGAGGTGGATTGGAAAATGATCCCGTCTTGCTTTCCTCATCCTATCCTGATTGATTTTGTGATCTATACCAGTGTTGCTTGTAGTTGAGACGATATCAGTCATATCGGGTAAGTGAAAGAGAAATTTTCCTTTAAATTGTTTCTTTTCAATGTTGATTAATGCTTGTTGCTGTTTGTCGAGTATCTTTATCACCTCTGTCTCCTTGATGTTCACTTCATTTCCTGTCTTCGTTAACTCTTCTTCTAACTTGCAGGTTTTCACTTCTAAGTCATCATATTTGTGCAACATGTTTACTGATATCAGACAGCTGTGTCTTCTCTCTTGATTGGCAATCCCTTTTTATAGTATCGTACAGATCACACATATTGTGAATTGTGATCCTATGCATTGCCAGTTTACCCCAGTACCTAGTTCCCTCGATAGCTAACTAGCTACATGTCGAGTGGTTTCAACTAATTCGACACTTTGAGGTGAGACTGTCAGAAATCAAACAAGTGAAACAGCCTTCTGGTGTTTTGATCACTTTAATATAACTGGTTGATATGGTCGGCTTCCCACTGATCATATCAACCCGCAGTATATTCTACCTTGCAGTTATTCCTGTCTTCCTGACTTCCATTTATAGTACCAAGGAGATCAAACATGCATTTAGATCTTACTATCATGGGCTTCCCAGGAAAATTTTAGTGAATTTTAAAATCGAATCATATTACTTGTAACTTGTTAATTTGATCTGATTGCAAGGTTTGTAAAGAGAGATATAGGTCTTTGCTTATATCAACTTGTATTCTCCGCTGGTTGACCATACTGAACTGAATTGACTAATATCTCTTAGTGTGTTAGCTGCTGCTACGGATGTTTTTGACAATATCGGATGAGCAACATTATGTTATTTGGTTGATGGTAGCAAGCGTCTTTGCCAATAGCCGACATCTTAACAGAGCCCGTGTTTTCATTCAATGCAGTCAGTCATCTTGGGAATATACACTGACTGAAGCTAATAATAAATGATAACCGTTGCAAAACTAGTTGGGATTCTTAGCCAAGTGGCAAAGTGGATAACGCTTTTGAGTTTGAAATGTAGTGGCTGTTGACACTGAGTTTCGATGAGAACATCACTCGTCACTTGTTGCTGAGGGCAGGTATATTCTGACGAAAATTCCCAAATAGGTCAATACACTCCAGTAGACTGAACACTACTAGTCACCATCAATCGGATAATGGCTACAAATCGTTGTAAGTCAATTCATAATGAATTTGTCAATGATTACCACTTAAAGAGATTGATGCCGTAGTTAAACGGCTATCAAACTGCCTTTAATTTCTTAGTGCGTCGGTGGCACAGTGGTTAGGACTCTCGCCGACCATCGACATGGTCCAGGGTTCGAGCCCACGCCGACGCACACCCGATATCTATGGTCGGCCTGAGAAATTTGGGCTACCGATATCCACGCTGAAAATTCCATACTTGTACCAAAAATACAGTGTGGAATCAAGCTGTAATCAAAAAATAAAAAAATTATGACCCCAGTGGCTGCGTACTGCCGGTGACTCCTAAACTAGGATGAAACAGCTGTCCAGCACTCCCTGTTGGTTTTCAATGGTTCTCTAACTGATATCGATCCGTAGTCAACTTGCAAAAATCTTTGTCCTTTGTATTCCGAGTGAAGCATACAGTCTCAGCTGTACATCCCTATTTCGCTCTTTGCTCTCCATTATCGGCTGCATAGCAGCCGACAAACTGTCAGTTCGTTTTCAGGTGACCTCCTCTGTATCATCCTCTGTCGCCCAACCAATCGACTGCTATTCAGGTTTCATTCGACGACCTTAATGGCGTATGAAATTTCATGAATGTGTCCTCAGCTTATATCCAATCCAGCAATCTCCATTTCTATCTGCATATTTTCTAAACGGTTTGTTATTGACTGGTTCGCTGCCTATCAGAGTTCCTTGTTACTAGGTTATAGTTTCTGACCTGATAGTCATCGAAACTGCTGTGTGATAGGAAAACAGGTATTGATGAAGGTCTACAGTGACACACACATTAGGTCTCTGGACAATTTAAAACAACTGACTGACTTTATACTAGTGTCATATATTCGGATGCTATTCGTTATAAGATTTAATGGTGTGAAATATTCCCATATTATGAATTAAAAGTCAATCTGAAAGAAGAATATTCTTTTCACTAATTTCTCTTCAGGTTCTTACAATTACAAAATATAATATTTGTTGTCGTTTCAATAAAGGATAGTTATGCCTACCTCACACTCTACAAATCTATTATGATTAATCACCACCATTGTCTCCCGTTTTACAATATTTTGTAATCGATTTCAGCCTAGCACATTTGTCAAACAAATATGGCTATTCGTTATGTTAACTACATTAGATCGCCTTGCTTTCCCGACCCTATCCTGGCGGCTTTTGACATCTTCATCCGTGAGGTCTGCTGACAGTTGGAATGATACTGCTCAGGACAGTGAAAAGAGACGATTTGCTTTTAATTTCTCCGTTGATGCTGACTGATTACTGTCGTTATTGTTGGCTGGGTATCTTTACCACTTCTGTCTTGTCTATGCTCACCTGAAAGCCTGTCCCTGCTATTGCTCCTACCTTTTCTCTTGTAGATCTTTAAGTTTATCACATCATTTAAAGTGCGAGGAATGTTATTCTGAGTTCTCAAAAAAGAAAATCATGGTGAAACCTCACTTTCAAATGTATAGTTTTCTAAGCTACTCAGTTTTTTTCAGTCACACATCATTGCAAACCTTTTTTGCTCAAATCACATCAAACCGTTTTGTGGATACTTAAAACTCATTCCACCCTTTCCTATTTTCCGAATAATACATATTTCAGACCAGTTTCCACGATTAATTGAATAGTGGGCAGTCTGATATATGTGCAGCTAAATAATACTAATAATTTTAAGCATTTATTACTTATTTGTTCATGACGCCAGCTTTCTAACTTTTGACGGACAACTTGAAAATTAAAAATTAGGAAAGTGAAAAACTATTTCTGGGACAAAAATATCAAAAGTACTAAGCGAAAATAAGTAATTTTGAAAATATTCACACAGTTTTATACATTTATAAGAGTCTAGGCAAAATTTTTAAGTGATACCAATCACTACCTTATGGATAATTACGAATGAAATGCCACCTATGTCTTCAAATTGACAGGAATACGCTTATTTTTCACCCAAACAGTTGACTTGAAGGAGTAACAGTAGTTTCATGCGTGGCCCAGATTCAATTCCCGGCCAACTAACTGCTATACCCTGTCTAGCCAGTAGTTAGCCTAGAAGAGGAAAAGGAGGAAGAATGGAGCTTAGGCTAACAACCCTAACCAGTAAAATTACAACAACACCAATACTAAAGAAACGTGCTTTAAAATCTATGCCCATACATCACACCACTGTTCCGGTTGTCATTAGTACCAACTGCCGGTCCCTGCCTAACAAAATTCTGGATTTTCAGTCCCTGTTGTCGTCCGATTTACTACAATACTGGTATTGTCACTCTACAAGAAACCTGGCTCCATGACTCATACGATGACAATATTGTGTCTCTAAACAATTTCAATGTTTTTCGACAAGACCGTGTTTGTTCCAAGAAAAAATGTGGAGGTGTTGCAACTTTTATTCACTCAAAATGGTCCATTTCAAAAAAGTTTGTTTCAAATTCTCGAATGACTTCATTGATTGCATCACTGTGAGATGTCGCCCGAAACACCTGTCAAAATACAAATTCATTTATATTTCTAATGTTTATGTCTCTCCTGGCTGTACCATATTGGATTTATCTATGTTCGCCGATGAATTCACCGCTTTTGCTGCAGCTTGCTTCGAGAACTCTTTATCAATAGTAACTGGCGATTTTAATTCATGCGATCACTCCTTCCTTATATCACTTGGTCATGACAATATTGTTAACTTTGCCACCCGTCTTGGTAAAAACTGGACCTGGTATTTATCAATGATGTTGGTATATATGAAGCTCGCAAACGTGCTCCTTACTTAATCTGACCACTGCATCATACGTGTGCTGCCTAAAATATATTCCAAATCACACAAAGGTGTCCTCTCTCACCTCTACAGTAAAGTTCAACGGAGATGCTACTCAAAGACAACCTAGACAAGCTCAGATGCATGTTGAAAGACACTAACTGGGACTTATTTACAGAACAAACATTAGATGAAACAATCACAAACACTACCGATTATCTTAAATTCTGTTTCGAAATATGTTGTCCTAAAGAAACATTATTCATCGATTTGATCGCTTATCTTCGCCATATCTCAAAAAGCTACGTAGAGATAAAGAACTGTTGTTCAAAACAAATGATAAGCCTGGTGTAAAAAAGTTAAATACTCTGATAAAACTGGAAATGAAAAGACTAAGTGTTTTATATAATCAAAGATTTTTGTCATGTAAAACCCCTTCTAATTTATGGAAACTTTTCAAAGAAATTACTAACGGTAAGCGATGTATTTCTGTTCCATCTCTTAATGTTGACACTCTTAATAAATCTTTCATACGCTCTTCTGTTGATACCCTTCCAAATGATACAAATCATATTGACAATAACTTTAGTGGTTTTAATACCCTTGATGTGCTTAAATGTCTCCGGTCTCTTAAGCCTTCTCAAAGCCTTGGTCCTGACGGCATACCTGCCATTGTCCTCAGGAATTGTGCTGATATTTTGTGTTATCCTCTTACTAACATTTTTAATGCTTCTTTTTCCGGTAACGTTCTACCTTTTGCATGGAAAAACATTAAAATTATCCCTATACCAAAACCATCTTCTGGTTCTGATATTAAATTTCGGCCTATTGCAATTACTTCTCCCTTTTTAAAATTGATGGAAAAATTACTTTTACTTCGTCTTGAACCCTCATTGAAACCTTTTAATGATCCTAAACAATTTGCATACAAACATGGTAGAAGTACCTTGGATGCTGCGGTTGTCTTATATCACAATGTTGTCTCTTGTTTAGACAAAGGTGCTAAATATGTTCGTAGTGCTTTCTTAGACTACACATCTGCTTTTGACTCTGTACCTAGGGGCCTTTTGTTAAATAAGCTATCGTTGACACAAACAGGATCCTGGGCTAAGAGTTGGTTGCATTCCTATTTTTCTGATAGAATGCAGTATACTGTATATAACGGCAAATCTTCTTCTACCTCGCTTACAAAATCCGGTGTTCCACAAGGTGCTGTCCTCTCTCCTTTTCTTTTTTCTTTCTTCCTACATGACCTGCCTCATTCAAACGAAACTAACTTTGTCAAATATGCAGATGATCTGACTGTATCACTGCCTATCACTTCCGAGTCTGACAGCTCCAAACTTAATAGCTTTCTGTTGGACATCAACAACTGGTCCAAGTCAAATGGTCTTATATTAAATCCTTCCAAATGTCAGGCTTGACTTTACTTTCAAGCATCGACGTGACTTACATGAACTAGTTAGTTCGCATGATGCCTGTAGCATAGATGGCACGGAAATTGAAACCAAGTCAAGCATTAAATACCTTGGATTAGTTCTTTCCTGACCTTTCATGGTCATCCCACATCTTATCTATCTCTAAGAAAATGTTTCGTCTTACCTTCTACATTAAAAAGTTAAGACAATCAGGTATCAACCAACCTTTAGTTTTGCAATTTTTAAACTCCTGTATTTTACCTATTGTACTCTATTGCTCTCCATTAATCTTTCCTGGGCTTCTCAAAAAAGATTATATCATATTACGAAGAGTATTAAATGCTGTGAGTAGGGCTTGTGGTCTGCCACTGCGTGAGCTCGCCAATACTATAGTCGAGAGGCATATAAATTCCTGTACAAAATGGGCAAAGGCTATACTGTCAGACCCTCTGCACCCCCTTTATTCACACCTGTCCCCTTGTATCTCATCAGGTAGGACGAGAAGTCAATATAAAAAGATATATGCTCGTACCACTAAGTATAGAAATTCTACAATACCCTATTTAGCCCGTACTTTATGTGACGAAGACTCTGTTAGACGTGAAACACATAAGTTACTATGTAATTAGCACAGTGAATCGACCCTTTCATCGTTCATCTTTCTGTATTTTATGGTGTCACACTTTCTATCGTTTAATCATAACTCTGCTATTTTATTTTAGTTGGTATTACTATTATTACTACAATTTTATACTATATGCATATTTTTCTCCATATTGCATACAGTATTTTGCTATGTAGCTGCTATAACATTCGTTTTATTCTTATTCTTATTATGTAATGTGTATTTTAATTTTTTTTGTCGTTTTTGAGTAAATTAGATGCAATATTGTACTGAATGCTGAAAATTCCTTGCTGTATCATTAGTACTGTTTTTGGAATAAAGCAAAAATTATTATTATATTAACTTCCGAATTTAAACTTGAAGCCTAGTGTTCCAGTAAAAAACATAGAAATGACAAAAAGGCTGATCAGTAATGCGAAAATAACTCATCTCCAGCAATGTGTTTTCTTCGGCATGTTTATTGAGAGAAAGATAATTGATTGGCTCGTCCTCAGAGTTCCTTGTTGCTCATTCGTCCTGATTGACAATCCGATTTTCATTATGGAATCAGAAAAGGCGGTTGCTGACAAAATCTGTGGCCTGCGAAAAATGCATTTCATGATGTGCGAAGTTACTGACCTTCGTAGAATGACCCACTTGACCTTGATGTTGAAAGTTCGAAGATTTTTCTTTACGCTGAGGCCAGAAAATTTCTAAACTGACTTCAGAGTGGTGAAGGTCTACCTTCTCTTTCCGAATTTGTTTTTGACATCCTCACTTATGTCAGTTGCCTGTATTTGATAATAACTCATGCTCGTTGTTGGTTGGTTAGTTGTCTTCACCACCTCGGTCTTCTCTATGTTCACTTGAAGTTCTTTCTTCACAGCCTGATCCTAGTACATACTTCCTTTCCGGCAGAAAATCTTTGTACTTATTTGAGATTAGACTTAAATCCTCTGAGAATTCCAGATCTTCTAGAGCCTTCTTATTGGTGCGACATATTACTGTTTCTTCCCTCCTCGCAGTCTATCTCAATACATTCAAGAATATCCGCGATTATGTTGGTAAGCTTAACTAACCCCTGTCTTCATTAAAAAGGCTTCGTTGAGTTAATCGTTTTGAACTAACTGAAATGTGGTCTTGTCAGCCAGCTGTTGAATTAGGTTGCTAAAGTTTTCAATACACAAAAAATCCCCATTTAGATATTGAGAAAGCGAAAAGATTAAACGGAGAAATATTCACTTTTCAATTAGATTGTCATCTCTGACTCTAATATACATAGAATTTTTATTACAATACACAACAATTTACCAATCAAGTGGTGATATATTTGTTAACAATAATTAGTCAGTATCAACATGTCAGTGGGGTGAAAACTGATACAATTAAAAGGTAGAAATGGTTGCAACATATGGATTGCGTAACTCATAAGTTTGGAAAAATGAAGAGTAATTAAGGAATAAGCGTGCGCAAAGGTTGATTACGTAACAGATTGTTAAAGAAAGTATAAGAATATATAAAAAATATATGAAGAAAACGACCTCCTTTACTTCGCTAAGCCAGTAGTAAGACTGTTGAAGAGGGAAGGTTGGGGATGAGGCTAGTAAACCCATCTCTTCAAAATGAATACCAATGTCACTGAAACTTCAAGCCTCTAGCTTAAAGCCCTATTTTCCATTGGGAACGTAAAGGAATAGAAAAAGGAAACAAATCGAAAATAAGGAGTATTACAGACAAACTGATGGTGTAGCCATGGTTACCCCATTAGGTCCAATCCTAGCTGATTTTTTCTTCGCTAAGACAGAGATTGGACCACTGAAAGGAGTAATTAATGACTCGGATTCCTATTATCAATATATGGATGATACATTTTGGTTACATAAAACGACAATGAAGCAATTAACATCCCTGACAAGTCCAGTGATGTGTATTCAGCAATAAACTTCACCATAGAGAAAGAAAGTAATGACACCATCTCATTTCTAGACGTCTTCCTCGCCAGGAAGGAAGATGGCTCAATGAGAAGGAGTGCGTACAGGAAACCTATAACGACAGGTCATTGCACTCATTTTTGAGTCTTGCACCTTCGAAATACAAACATAACATGGTAAAGTGTCCGGTTCATAGAGCTAGTTTAGTCTGTTCAGACGACTGCCTCAATGAGAAGCTTAAGATTATCAGAGAATTACTTAGAAAAAAATGGTTATTCAGATATGGTCGTTGAGAACAACATGAATTCAGCACCTAGGAGAGTTAGTATGGCAACATTTTCGAAAAAACACTGTTCATAAAACTGAAGTACCTCGGTGACAACATCAGCGAAATAATAACACATCGCCTGAAGAATGCAGTTAAAGGAGTTTATTATACAATAGAGATGCGCTGTCTCTTCACAACCAACCCTATTCTATGTTCGAGAAATAAGGATAAACTACCTAAAGTTGCCTCTTCTATGTGTATCTACCAGTTTAACTGCAGCTGCAGAGCCAGCTACATTGGGCGTACAATTAGGCAAGTTCATCGTCGTATTTCCGAACATCATCCAACGTGGTTAGGTAAGGGACAAAAATGATCTATTCGTAGCTCTATTTTAGCACTCCTTGTAGATAGTGACCATGAGGTTGACGTTAATACAGCATTTGAAATTATCGCATTCCTATTAACCTTAATTTTGCTTTATGAGTAAATCGATTCAAATAGCCAACGTCATTTCCTCTATTGTAGCCAATTAAATTTAGAGGAACTCTTCATCATTGCATTTAATCTAGACTAAGGAATTACTGTTTTGGTAAAAATGGAACATATGATTTATTTCGATGTAGACTACATCATGAAACAACACCCATATGAGGTCACTGAAGACCAGCCGCCACATCCTAGTTTGGGACTCTTCAGCAATCTATGGGAAAAACAATAATGCCAAACATCTACAGAGAAAAACAGATGATCCTTCAAACCTAAATATGTTGAAAAAGCAACCAATCTGAAATCTAAAATCCAAACAGGAGATATAATAAGTGAAGTTCTCTAAAGCTGTCTATAGAGAGCAGTTCGAAGAACATCCTTTCCTGCATCTCCTCTCCTCACCTTTTCTACATATGCTCTTATTCATTGAAACCTCAAAGACAAACATACTGCTCCTCATAACTCCAGTGTCTAGCTAAGCATACGCGATTTACCAGAAGAACATTGTGTAGACACGCTCATGAACACCTAGAGGCACAGTTATCGACAGGAGAACGTAGAACTGTGAACAGCTGAATTCTGAAGTACATTCTCATTTCTTATTATCCATCATCAGCTGGGGTCTTATTAAATTTAATATATAAAGTCAGATAAAACGGCTCAGAATACTTTTGCCCACGTATTCTTCAATCAGGTGAAGGTTTAGCAATCCATGGCTAATACCTGAACTTTGTACTCAGAAACATTTTTGAAAGTCTCTTTCACTACTATTGCCTTAGTGGCAGTTTTACTTTCTTGAATTATTGAATGGTAAACTCCGTGTAGTCGTTTCTATTTTTGTAACCCATTCTCAGTCTTTTGTTCTCTTGTTCCATATCAATAATCTCGAAATGATTTTTCATGATTTAACTAACTGGTTGTGCGTTCTCCTCATTACGCAGGGTTATTCACTTTTTTTTCACATATTATTAATTATCAAACACTGATTTATTTCGTTACTAACTGACTTGACTGGTTTCGAGTTTGATCTGTTCGAGAAACACTGAAAACTAGTTATTTAGTTCAAGTGCAGTATTCTTGAGTAGTATACATCTATGAACTCACCAACAGAGGTCGAACCCAGAACCTGTAGTTTACGAGGGGACTTCATTAACCATTTAACCACTGGGACAGAACCAAATACCCTATGATTTCTAAATCCCGCTATTTTCAATTTTTAACGGCACCGCTAGCCAATGATATCAGCAAGTATTTCGCCTCAAACTCGACCTGGTGAATAGGAGGCATTAGAGTCCGTTTCAGAAGCTAAGCTGCCAACGAGGTCGATTCGTAAGTTGGAGATCATGGGTTCGATCCTTGCTTGGATAATAGGTGCATGCTACTAAGGAGTCCCAAACTACAGTGAAATAGCTGTCAATTACTTCTTACTGGTTTTTGAAGATTCTCAAGCTGATATCATTCCATGGTAAGGTTTGAACATTTATTATCTTATTTTGGAGCAACAGACTCTTTATTTTCTCAGGGAATATGTGAACTACCACTGTAATTATTATTAATTATTATGCTTGCATAATCTGATGAAATATCTGATTATAGAGGCGCGTAAATGTACTTGCATAACTCTTTATGTGTGTAAACATCGTCACATTCCATTGGTTGAATTTATCAACTTTCGTCTCACTGCCTGCTTCCCCCTTTTTTGAACTACCCAATCATATTGGAGATAAATAATTGTACTAATCTAAAAGTAGTAGTAGTCTATCGAGTGTATTGACAACCGACCAATAGTAGACTGTTATCTTCTCTCTCTCTCCTTCCCTCTCACCATGCGACCCCCACACCCCACCTCCAGAAATATATGTTTTAAATAATTTATAGGTCTTCATTTCATATTACAGATATTCGCACATAATTTAACTAAGATCACATTGAAATAAACTATTATTACATAACTCAGTATAGACAAATATTGCTCAAATTCCTTATAATTTTGGATAGGTATCTAACTACTCATAAGTAGACTAGAAAAACATATCGACGAAAAAGCATTTACTGATGCCATCAACTAGACATAAAGAGAGATTAGAAAGGATACAAAGCAATGGAATAAATAATAACACTACTACTTCTACTACTCATATTATTATTAATAATAATACCACTAACAGTAATAATGATAACTTTAACAAACCTCACCATTTTCGAAAAGGCATTCTCCGCCTACTCCAACAGAGTACAATACATGGATTGACACATATCTCAACATCATCGAATAATATTGTTCGATTAATATGGTTAGCTTTATGGTTAGCTGGCTTAGCAGGTTTCCTGATTAATCTATCATATGTTGTAGCACATTATTTATCACGACCAGTTTTGACCAGTTACCATGAGGATCATGAAGAATTTGTGTGGCCAGATATCACCTTCTGTAATGCTATGGCACCGTATAATTTAAATACACAGGAAAGACAAACACTGTGGAGTGAATATGTCAATCGGGCTAGAAATCTTTCAACACTCAATCATATACCGAAAGATCTGTTTAGTAGTATTGATGAAGCCGATGCTGATGAAATTTTCCTCCAATCACTTGTACGCTCGAGTATACCTCATTGGAGATTCAATGTTGGCGATGCAGAGGATATGTTTGGTTTTATTGCTGAACAGAATGGACATCAAGGGATATATCTGTCAGTAAGCATGGATGGGATTTTATCTGACATGCCAAAACCATGGGGAAAATATTTCTATACACAAATATTGCAAAAACGTTATAACATACCATGTCTTAATTTTCAAGTAAGTTAACAACCCATAAATGTGCTATGGAAAGATCGATAATATTTGTAACACACTAATTGGGTTCCGAGTAGAATAAAGGGTCTCAAGGTCAAGTATTAGCCTTAATTTTTTACTCTGAAGCGACTTTTATCCGGGTTAATACAGACTGCCCACAAGGACTACTTATACAGTCTTCTCCATGGCCTCTCCAGATACCTGACGCGTTAATTCTGCTACAGGGGCTGTCGAGAGTTGTCGTTTGAATGTTTCGTCAGAGCACATTCAATCCATCCACAATCATTTCCGTCTAGATACTTGTTAGTTCATTGCCTTCCATAATTCCTTGTTGCTACGTTGTCATTCTCGTGCCTCGATGGGGTAGCGGTTAAGACGCTCACCGACCATGCACATGGTCCAAGTTTCGATCCCCGGCCGACGCACTCCTTTACCTCGCCAAACCAGAAATAATGCTGGTAAAAAGGAAAGGTTTGGCATGTAGCTAGCTACCTCATCATGTACAACTGAACACTGTTACAGAAACTTCAAGCCACTAGCTTGAAGCCCTATGTTCCACTGGAAACGTGAAGGAAAAATAAAAATCAATATAGGTTGGCATTCCCGGCTAGCCACCTGATGTTCAAGCAAGAAGGACACAAATCCTTGTGAAATTCTGCAATAGGCTGTTGAAAATGATTCTGCTGACGCTTGGACCCACATTCTGATCCAGAAAGAAGCACTGACTGACCTGGTGTCAGTGCTGGAAATTCGGATCTTGTTCAATACACTAATTCCTGTTGATCTCACCATCGGTTTCTGAGTAATTAACATCTCTCATGTCCTTCCAATCCGATTCTTGCTTGTTTCGACATTCTCAGGTGTATCACCTTACTGAGGTTGAAAAAATTCAAGCCAGCCAGGCATATAAAACAGGCAACTTGCTTCACAGTTCTCATATTGATGATTACTAGAGCCTGCTGTAATTTCAATAATTTATCGTAAGTGGTTTTGATTCACAGAAAATGCATTCCTAAATTTCTCCTAAATTACCAACCATTAATAAGCCTAGAAGAGAGAAAAGGACGGCGTGTGCGACCAACTACGCCACCACATATCATAAAAACAAAATCACTCAACACGAAATTCAAGCACTCAAAAGAGTATAACAAATGGATATCCACAGAATCACCTTCCCATACATTTTCTTGGCTAGTGAGCGATATCATTCTGAAACGTTGAATTATTCCAGCCCCATTGTTGCAGAAACATTTTTCACAGATGTTAGAATAAAGTTTCTTGTAGTTTCTGAAGGTGGTTTCTTGCTGTGGGTGTTTCATAGATTGAGTCTAGACATCTTTTAATGAAATTGTAAGGGAATCTATGTTTTATGAAAACTGCTCGCAAATATTTCCATTCCACTATATTCTATTCAGGACAGTAGTGCTACACTGCATTTCAACACAGTCGAACAATATTTGTGCACAGTTTGTTCTAAGAACAACTCGAATATCACTGTTACACTTGAGTATTTCATAGGTGTGTGTGTTGATATCCTGTGTACATGTGTACATATCTGTCCTTATGTCCTGCATTTCTTCTCTCGATTAATATATCTGATTTCTCTTCTCTTGTGAATTTGTCTTCAAATACGTTCTCGAATTATTTGTTGGCATATTCTAACTCATTTCCTTTAATAATGACACATGCATCATCAACGTAACCTGTTGGTTGAGCTATCATTTGTAATCTCAGCATAACTGGTACAGCACTCAGTTCTGATATGGGCGATTCCATCGGTGTTCCTTTTGTTTGTCTGTATATTTCGTTACTGAATTGAAAATATGTCACAAATTGTAAATGGTTGAGTTCCATCCTTCGGGAAGACTGTGTTTTGAGTGCCCATCACTACGGTTGCGTAGTTTGCTTTGTCAGCTTGTATCCAATTGAAGTGTGCACCACTGCGACAACAAATGATACCATACTTTCATCGTCATCCATTTGAATTCTTTCGATTGTTTATACAAATCGGGGCGACGAATCGACAGAATGTTCACAAGATATTCTGTTATAAATGTTAGGCTTGTGAAGAACTATGTTCCTGGTAGTGAGCCGATTGGTTGCGGAGGGACTTATGCTTTGTGCATTTTCGGACTACCACTAAATCAAAGTGGTCTTCTTTTCTAATTTGTCACGATCTCGTTAGCTTATTTTACATAGCTTCAATTTTTATTGTCAAATTTTTGGACAAGGCTCTTGTCAGCTGCTGATAAACGTTATTATTATCGTCACCATCGTCTTTAATGCCTTAAGTATACCATTCTTTAGTGTGAAACAAACACCAGATATTTGTTAAACCTCAAGCAATGTCTGAAGCTGTGTATTCCACTCAGAACGCAAAAACAGTGAAGACAAAGACAGCAGCTTGAGGTATACATGATAAATTTTAGAGTTTTTTAAACCACCTCATATGTTTAACTGGTGGATGGTGACTGGCAGTGGAATCCAGGATGCGCATTTCGCACTATTTGGGACTCGTCATCTGGATGTACCTGCATTTCTCAGTGAGTGATGATGTTCCCACCGAGGCTCGAACCTCGTGCCCATAGTTTCAAACGCCAAAACTTTATCCACTAGACCACTTGGGCCACGAGAACCACCTCTTGTGCAACGGGTGATATTAATTGAATTTTGTCTCAAATAGGACGAAATGCGCATATTGGATTCCACTGCTAGTCACCATCCGCCAATTAAATATTAATTAAATGCCCAGACATCGTCGAAGCATCTGCACAAGAAGCCGACATTTCAACCTGAGACCGAGCACTTCGGTCCAATCAGTCGAAGGGAAAATCAAAAATTCAATGAAATCTCATGTGTTGACTGGAAACTAATGTTCACATGTAACGTTTGACTAATTTTTTAACATGCTTAACAAAGACTGTGATGAAAGATGTGTGATAAGCAATATGCATATAAGTCATGACTGAATACTTTACGTTTGTATTGATAGCCTTGTAAGGATTACCCTCCTTCCTTGTCATACTTATACTGCTTTGAGTCTCCGTAGCATTCGGTTACACTTGTATGAACAGTGAAAGCAATGAGAATTTATTTGAAAGAATTTAAGGGAGTGGAATGATTAGCTTACTACTTGAAAGGTAAATGTATGTTATACTTTGTGCAGAAGTACATTTCCAACCACGTAGTTGGGCTAGCATTATTACTAGTATTATTATCCCCTTAAATTTCGGGTGGAATATAGTATTTCAGAAGCGCATAGCCATTTCATCCTGTTTTAGTTCGTTCTTCTGTTGCCCAAAGCTATCATGCCCGATTCATATGATTGCCCACCATGTCACACTCGAATCTACACCCACTTATCATTTCTCATTCAAGTTCCACTTTGTGGCTTTTTGCAAGATGTCAACTAACAATCTCATGAGTGTTTCTCTGATTTATCGCTACTTACTTCGCCTTAATATTTTGGCGTTAGGTTTTTGGTTGACAGGTATTTTGAAGACTTCTTTGTTGCTAGTCTTTTCAGTGAAATGTATTCTGTGATAATTTATTCCATCTTGTCAGGATAACAAGAATCATTTAACGAGTCATTATCTACACGGCCTGCAAATCAGATATTTGAATAAGACGTAATGAAGAGTCATGTTGTTGGATTTTTCTTAGGAGACTTCTCCTCTGGTTCGCTTGCTTCATTTAGCTTAGATGTCTTCTGGCTCTCCTTTGTAGTGGTGGATTTAGGGGTGACTTCAGTCTTTTTGCTTTAGGACTTTTTCGAGCCACTGTTCTCACCCGTAACCCGATTAAGAACCCTGATTAGAAGTCCTTTTTGATACATCATCTCTAGGGCTGTTCCAATAAATAAGCGTGGAAAGAAATGATTAATTCTGAAAATCCCGAAGTCATTCAGAAAGCATCTTTTCACAAAGGCTACGTATTAACCACCGTAGTATTGTTTATGATGTGCAGAAAGAAGCTGTGATAATGTGAACGGTAGCTTCAAGGTTACCGAGATAAAGGGATTTGAAACCAAGTTCAAAAAGTTAAGTTGACGATAAAGGAAATATTTTATGAAAAGTTGAATGCTAGCCTAAATCAGAAGGGTAAACCAGAAGTAAAATAACGCAACTCTTAATCCCTGTTAGAGTCAAGCATCTGATTTAAAGGCCATGTAAACAATAATTCATTATGTCTCCTCTTCTCCTACCGGATTCACTCCATTTTCAGTCCTTGTAATCATTCATTTTGTTTGTTGAACTCACACACTATAATTATACATATTTTTAAGAAAACTAGTCCTCTCCATTTCTCTCGGAGATTTCATAAGGAAAATAAGAAGAAACCTTTGTAGGAGAGTGAAAATATCTTATGTTAAATGACACACACCTGAGTATTATGTAACTTGAGAATTCTATTAAATAGGTGAGTATTTTACAATAACTCTAGAATACTCACCAACCATACATGTAGTCCAAGACTCAATTCCCAGGCAGTAAACTCTTAAATCTAGCCTAATGTACAGTCAATAATAAGACTACCTAATTGGTGATTTCAGGATGGCTGAGAAATATTGATGACATGATTTGAAGTCGTTCAAGATGTCATTTATCATTCAGATTCTGAAAATAGTAACTAATTTCTATCGATTTATTCGCTCTTCCTCACATTCTGGTGGTGGTTCAGGTTGCAGTCCACTTCTTGACTTGGGTTCAAATTCTAGTCTTGAGGACACATTGTGAGTAAGTAGTCCAATAGTAGAATGCTTGCTGACCACACAGGAGGAGACTAGCAACCCCAAATTATTAGACAAAATCGCGACCGACACTAAAACTTGAAAGATCAATGCCTAAAGCCTTATGTTTCACTTGAGAATTAATGGATGCAGAAACAGTAGGCTGTTAGAAATGATAGAAATGAAGTACAGAAAGTCACCCAATGAGGTCATGACGCTACACCACTCAAGACGACTAGGATGCATGTTGCGCATACTGAGCCACCAACTTCCT